ATTAATTTATGCATATATTTTGGCGACTAAAATTTTTCACTGGCGACCAAACCTGAACAGTCAGTGGCCATTGGCCAAATGGCCACTAAGGAAAAAAGTTAACTTGGAGGGTTGAAAAGGTGACACCGGAAAAGTGTTTTTCATCTGGTGATTGCTCAAAGAATATGAAAGAAAGCGATCAACTAGCCTGCAGTACAGGCGGATTAGCGGGCTCTAGCGCGATACACGAGCGCGCGCAAAGCGCGAGGCGAGAAAAATCGCTTCGCGCTCGTTCTCGCGCTTCGCGCGCTTTTGTATCGCACTAGAGCCCACTAATCCGCCTGTACTGCAGACTAGCGATCAACAGACCACAGGAATGAGATAACCTGTTAATATTATGTCCAAATGTACTATGGTTTTCAAAAACCAGAGGCCTCAAGGTACAAAAACACGCAAAATTTCGAGATCGCTCAAGTGAAAATGCGATTGAAAAGTGAAGCTTTGGCCCGTTACTTGGGCGAAACCAACATTGTACAACACGAACAGAAAAATATGATCTTGATATGGTTTAACACGTTTGAATAGCGATGAAAACGAATCATTGAACATATGCATAAAAATGATCAGTGGGTTTAAACCCATTATTGAGCCCCTCGGCGGGGTGGGGGTGGGGGGCGGTTACATGGTACATGTTCCCATGATCCCTTAATATCTTTTGATTTGATCCCTTGCTCCCCATTAATAAAACCACTTGTTCCCTAAAATGTTTCAAGCTTGTGTTTCCTTAGTCTCTTCCGCAGCTGTTTTTTGGGATGTCACGCAACGCTCTCCCAAAGAAACGGCCGTGGGGGAGCGTTGCACGACATCCCAAAAAACGGCTGCGGAGGAGACTAGTGTTCCCCTTAATCCCAGAAATGTTTACGCTGCTCCTTCGACTCCTAAAAGCTTTTATCATTGTTCCCCACATTTGTTTGCTTCTTTTACCTTTCTATTCATAAAAGAAAAAAAAATCGCTTTCGAACCACTGCTTTGTTCTCCTTGGAATCCCCATATATATGCTGTACTTCATTGGCTACAGTTTCTGTCATCTTTATGCTCTCAGCTACCTCTGCGATTGTGATGACTTCATTGGTACATTGACGCACATCCATCACCTTCTTCTAAACTTTAAGATATCGTGTTGGTAGTTGTAGTAAACAATTTTGACATCGACATACCTATCTGCATCCTCCCTGAACAGCACTGGACTGAAAGGATCTTGAATGAACATGTTGGTTTTTCATGCCGACACTCAAATTCTCTTGCAGACAGGCTATTGATTACAGTTGATGAGAATCACTGGAATCAACTTTAACAAAGACAATCTGGCTTGAATAATATACAAAGTCTCTGTTGTTTCCCTATTTGGTACTGAAACCGCTGCTGCTTCACTCAGCACAGTGAAATCTGACTGGAGGCTGTGCAGTCGGAGAGTTGGCTGCGTACAGATGTTAGGCGGAGTTCCTAGATTGTCCTTAGTTGTCATGTTTCGCACTGTTTTCTGGGGGATGCTCTGGCCATACATTGCTCTCCAGTTCCTCATTTCATTCACCTGGTTAAGTTTGTGAGCCTTGCGAGGGTGTAACTTGGGTAAATCCTTGTAATGTGTCGTGGTGAAAACCCGTGTGGCGTAGTAGGACCTGGGAGCTGTGAAGTAAGCAACCTCGTTCCCAGAGTCTCTCATCTTACC